AGGAGAGGACCTCGTGGCCTTCAACATGGGAGACGAAAAGGAAGGGGGGTAAATGGAAAGAGAGCGCCAAGGACCCGGTGGTGTGGCACAAGAAGGTCGAGGACGGGGCGGCATGGTTCATGAAGAAATGGCACAGGCAGGAGGCGGAAGCGTCCGCGAAGCGCCAGCGCGCGAGGGAAGCAGAAGCAGAGAGTATGGCCACCTCAGGACCGAGGAGAAAGAGAGCCGGGGAAGCGGCGGTGGGGGGAAGAAACGGCGACCGGGCACCGCTGTAGAAGCGAGTAGGGCGGCCGAGGCAGCACTTGTGGCGAACTATGTACCCGGCTGATGTTGTTGCGCCCTGTTTCCCTCCCTGCTATATGCTATACTCCTTCATGTATGTCCTTTGTATTGCCTTCGGCCTCTCTCTGTGCTGTGTTTCTGTGTTTCTTTTTTTCATGACCCCCCTGCCTACTCTGCTGTGTTGGGTACCGTGATCTCGCTTTGCTGTTGCCTTTGTTTTTGTACGCCTGGCTGTCTGCCCATCTGCCGCCTCTTTGTCCTGTTTGCTCCGTTACTCCCATGCCCTGGTGCGTAGTGCCTGGTGCTGGTACGTTACCCTTTGATTTTTTCATTGGGCGAGTGTGGGAAGCGTCCTCCTTTATTTTTGTTTTTGTTTCATGTTGGTCGGTCTCCGAGGGCTCTTTCCTCGAAAGGTCGGTCCGATACCTGTTATTTTCTTTCGGTCATTTTGTTTTCTTGTTCCGAGTGGTTTGTACCCTATTTTTGTTTTGTTTCTCCGCGGCGTTGTATGTGCCGGGTTTTGAGACCACAGGCTCCCCATTTCTTGTGGACTACAGAGCTCATGTGAGAAACAACAACGACAACAAACCCTGTTGCGTCGTTTTCCCACAAAAAACATCACTGCAAAATATACAACATGCAGGCACCTTTTTTCTCTCGCTCGGAACTTGACGCTTGAGCCCCTCCACCAGCGGCCCGTAGTGGTCCACCTTCCGCTGCAGTATTTCCGCCTTGACCTTCTCGAACAAAGTTCGTCTTCGAGGCTGCGGATGCTGCCCTCCTCCGGCTCGGGTTACGTCTCCTCGGCGACGACTGGTATCCCGGCAGACTTCAAGAGGCTCAAGTTGGTTTTGCGGAGCTTGTTCGCCGAGTCTTTCAGAAGGACCAACTCCTCCTCCATGGCGCGGGTTCTCTCTTCCGCCTGGCGCTGTCCCGCCACCGCCGACTCCTTCTCTCGCCCAATGGCTTGTTTCTCCTGGTCGGCCTGCTGTTTCTCCTGCTCGGCCTGCTGTATCCGTGCCCGCCCCGACTTGAGCTCGTCGTCTTTGACTTTCTCGCGCAAGAACTCCAGATGCATTCTGCAACCAGCTTTGCTCTCTTCCTCATATTTTCTACTTTCGGCCAGCTCCTCCTTCGTTGTTTCCAGCGCTTTCTGCGCGGCGGTGATGCTGCCGCGCTCGATAGCGCGCCGGGTGTTGTCTGCTGCTGCCACCTCAGCCACAGACTTCCCCGTCGTCTCTTCAAACTTCGCTTTGTTTTTTTTTAGAGTCAGCGCAGCGCGCCTGCCGCCACCGAACGTCGTGGACCTTACTTTTTTTGGGGGGGTGGGTCCGCTGTGGGCGCCGCAGACCCGCTTGAATGGCCGTTTTCGGACGTGCAGATCTCGGACTTGGCTGACCCGATTCGGGCGCCGTCTGTTGTGCTGTATAGGTGTAAGCCCAAGATAGAGGACTGCAAACTCGCTTTTCACGAGAGGAGTAAAGGTCGCCTTGGGCGTGGGCAAAACAGCTGAAATTACCCTGTTTTGCTGTGTTGTTCGTCCGCCCTTTGGACTTACAACCGAGTTTGCAGTCACCTCTATTGGGCCTGTGTCCAGGTGTGTGTAACGTAACCGGTCGCCCCGGTGGTCTAGTTGGTAACCTCGAAACCTTCCAGAGGTCAGGTCAGGGGTTCGAATCCCGGCGTAAGCGAGCTTTTCTTGCAAAGCGAGTTTTTCTCCTGCTTCCGCTCCTGGCCTAGTGGATAGCGCTAGTTGGTGTGTACCCAGAGGGAGAGAGTGCTGAACTCTTCTCGCATCAAAAATCGAAGGCAAAGTACCGCAGGAGGGGAGGGTATAGAGGGGGCACTTCTGTGTGACCACGGGTTGGAGGAAGCGGCACCAATAGCGCCGTGAGCGCTGATTTGAGGTGAAGACAACAAAAAAAAAACGCTGAAGAGCCATGCTGCTGTCTGCACGCAGAGCTGCCTGCACAAACAAATTGACTTGATGTAAAGTTTTTTTTTCTAAATATCACACAACGAATCCATCTCTATCTATAGAAATACGTCAAAGACTGATTAGCAATGATTTCATTAAAATGAATCCATAGCGTGAGCGAAAGGCTATTCAGTATTAACAGTAGTGGGATTCTTTCTGTGCGTGTATTTATTTCTCCTTAATTCTCAAGAACCAAAAAAAAGCACCAAATCCGCGTGCCCCGTGCCCCCCTCGGATTTTGTCGAATGGACCGGACGGTTTTTTGGCCCCAAATTCCGCCGCTTTGACACCGTAACTTGTGTTTTTGTTTTTTCCAAGGTTTTTCACAGAATCGTGGGCAGCGTGTGGGGATGCTGCGTCCAATTATTGTTTGCAGCTAGACATACAGAGAGCCATTTGGTGGCGTTCCTATGCATATACTGGTCACTCCCCGCTGAACAGAAAAAGAACCGCCCACGCGCTTGCCTATTGCCAATGCATATTACACGTAGTAGTGGGTGGCACAAGATACCATACCCCCGTAATCGATTGTCAAAGTTCGACTTTTTCACGACGATGAGGATGCATCAATGACACGCTTCATTTTCGGAAAGCTCTCCGCGAGACGCCTCCAACCCCGTTGTTTTTCGGCATCGTCAAAATTTATTGCTACTGCTGCTGTGGACAAACCGAGCTCTGAAAATTGGTTCGAGGGGGTGTGCTATCTTGCGTCACCAACGACACGCGTATGACGAGTTGTTGTTGTTGACTTCACATTAAACCGTATGCCAGTTGCTAAATGCCAAAATCTAGCAAAGACTCTCGGCCCGTGGTCACGAAAGTGCTGGAGCCATCTGAGGATCTAAAGAACACGCACACGTAGCAAGAAAAAGGTGTACAAGAGCCCGAAGAGGTACTACTACACCTATATATAATCCCTGCAGCACCGTACGCGTGCCCAAAACTGAACTACACGTCCGTCTCACCGTTCGACTACAGCAACATCACCCCCTACTTGTCCCACTCTGTACCAAAACGAATGATTGCCGACTACAGCATACTTGCTGTCTGAAGTGCTGTCTGTACAAAAACACCATGGTAGGCATGGAACAAGAAGCTGGCGGGGCACAAAGCTGCTGTCTGAAGTGCTGTCAGAATGTGTCTGCGGACGTACAGTGAAAAAGAACAACCAACCAAAGCCATGATTGTTGTTGTTGTTGTTGTTGTTGACTTCATGATTGCAATGGACAATCACCCGACGAGAGCGCTGATACAAAGCTTTTTTTTTTTTACGTTGAGTTTCGCCGCTCCTCAGATTTCATCAGGCGGCGCGTGTGTCTGGTATGTACCCGGAATACACCGGTGTGTGTGCAGAGCTGCTGTGTTCGCGCGCACCAAGGACGCACCCGCCATGGCTTCGAGAGGAGTGCTTCTGGCGTTGCTGCCCGCTGCTTGCTTTGGCTTTGCTCCGGCGGTGACGACAAGGGTAGGAGGATGTAGTAGCGGCATGTCAGCAACGAGCGCATCAACCGGCTTCGCAGGGTGAGAGAGAGGAAGAGTATTTACACACTCCAGGACACGCCTGACTATGGCCTGTAGCTTACCGTAGCGGCAAGAGGCCTCATAACCATCGTGGGGATGTTATATTTCGGTCTCAGATCATGTTCAGGTCGAAGGCTACCGGAGCAACAGAGGTGGCATGTGGATGATGTCGATCATGAACGCGCCGTTTGTCAGCTCGAATGCTACCACGCTCCCTCCAGCTGAGCTTTCACCCCATCCTGGACGTACGCAAGCCCTCCTGGCTTTGAGGCTGGGTTGAGTGACCACTACAACACGCACAGCAAGCAGCTGGGCTTCGCTGCCACCACGAACACCTCGCCAGTCGGTGCTGTGTTACATGTCGCTGACACATGACCAAAAGAAGAGGGTTCACCTGTGTACAACCAACTACTGCTGTGGTCTGTAGATACATTTGCATATCAACGCTTCTCCACCCTGATGTCCTACACGCTCTTTTCCGTACCTGTAGAGTAGCTTGTGTCCACAGCAGTCTATCGTTGAACAGCATGAGTACCTATAACTGGGTGTGTATCTAACTTGCCACATTTTTCAAGGCATCCAGGTCTATACGTCGTCCCCATCTGATCGGTCTGTTTGACCCAAACCTCCCAATAGCAATTCACCTCCAGCACGCCGAGGTATTCAGCACACGATGAAATCATAGATCGCTCTGCTCGCGTCTCTTCGCCGCAAAAGGTCGGCGGTGCAAGCGTTGGCGCGTTCTCGCACAACGAGACGCAGCGAGGGGCGTGGGTTGCGCATGGCCAGCGATGGGCCAAGTGTGCTGGAGGAGCAGCCTGTATCAGCAGAGGAGGCAATCGCTTTGATCGACAAGGCCAAGACCATCGTAGAAGCTGACATGGGCGTGAAGGTGTGTGATCTCCGTCATGTTTTCCGCTTACGGCGAGGCAACGGGGGGCGTACCCTTGTGTGTTGCATGCCCTAGCGGTTAGACCATTGACCACGCGTCCTCGAGAGGACGGAGCATTGTTCCCACAGAACCGATCACCGATGGCCGATCGTTCCTTTGTACTTTGCCAAAGGTGGCTCAAAAATGTCTTCCCTAGTCTGTCTATCCTAACGAT